AAAACATCTTCATTATCCCCGAAAGTCCCCTCACGCTGCTTCACAGTCACTGTCCCTTCCAGAGGGCAACCTCTATTTTAATTTCTGTTGCCATGGGTTACTTTTTCTTGTTCTTGAACTTCATATAAAAGGAGTCATGCAGCACATACATTCTTTTTTTCTGTCTGCTCTTGTATTCAACCTGCTGGCTTTTGCAGTTCATTCATGTTTTTGTGTATTTGTAGTTCGTTCCTTTCGCTGACGAGGCGTCTTCGAAGAGGACCACGCAGCCGGTGAGCTCAGGAGCAGGCCCTCAGGAGCATCAGTCATCAAGGAACGCAAGTTAAAGCCACACTGAGGTGCCAGAATCAATAAAGCTCAAAAAAGACGGGGCTATGCAAGTGTTGAGGATGTGGAAAAAATGGAACTCTCATACTTTATTGGTGGAAGTATAAAATGAAACCATTCCTTTGGGAAAGTATTTGGTAGTTTCTAAGAAAACGAAACATAAGCTACCCTGTGACCCAGCAATTCTTCTCCCACATGAACACCCAAGAGAAATAAGTGCATATGGACACAGACATACTTGTGGAAAAATGTCTGTAGCCATTTTATTTATAATGGTCCAAAACTATAAAGAATCCAAATACCCATCAACAGGACAATGCATGTATGAACAACAGTGCGTTCAGACGGGGGTCCACCGTGTGCGAAACAAACTCTTCCTAGTTGTCGTCTCTCCCTGTAGTGAAGCGGGCTCGACCCTCTTCTTGGGAATCCACTCATTCTGTCTCCTTGGAGAGAAGGAGGCGGCATTGCACCCCCTTATCTCCCACGACCAGATATGTACTCCAATTTCCCCCGTGGATATTACACTCTAGATCCGGGGTCGCACAGGACTAAACAAACGTCCAATTTCATAAATATTTCCTGAGCATGATGCTAGACCCTGATAGGAAGATACAGACATGATTAAGATGTAGCCCCTGCAGAGGAATTAATGGTTGAGACTTGATTCTTGGAGTCAGAAAGACCAGTGTTTGTACCCCAAGTCCTTTTAAAAATAATAATAATGATAATAATAATAATAATAATAATAATAAATTTATTTTAGCCACATCTGGAAATTTCAACAAGCTAACAAACTTGAAATTAACTAAACTTTATTTTTTACAGCATGAGAGTATTGCGTGTTTTTTATTTACGTTGAGCACAACTATTTGATGATTTCTGAATCCCAAGTCTATTAGTTGTGTGCTCAAGCCCTGATCTAGTCTGTGTAAGGCACGTGCACCAGGCAAATAATCATAATGCCACCAAACGAGTGTCCTAAGAACTGAATGGGCCAGGGCAAGTGACGCCGTAGCACAGTGTCTGGCACTTGGGAGGTTTTTCATCAATGCTATTTGTTATTGTTATTATTCTATTGTTCACAAGCTAATGAGAAAAAAGACAAATCATAGTGAACAAAACAGATGATCCAAGGTGTTAATACAGAGGTGAAATGCGCTTTGAGGATGTGGAGAGAAAGAAGAAGTTCGGTTGGGCTAGAAAACGCTGCGATGTCTCAGGCTTCACGGAGAACTAGGTCAGTCAGGAAGCAAGAGGCAGAGCCCTGCTCCCAGTGATGAAGCCGTGTGGGGAGAAGCAACGTGGATAATCACAGAGCATCAGGGTGGGAACCCCGCCACCTTACATTTGAATCCAGGCTCATTCATTTGTTAGCCATAAGATTTTGGTCAAGTAATTTAACCCCTTTAAGCTTCAATTTTATCATTGGTAAATAATGACTACTCCTATCTCTAATGGTTGTTGAGAATAAAATATTTATCAAAGACCTGGTACAATGCCTGTTGTTCAATGCACACATTTTAACAGTCTCATTAACTGAGAAACTGACGGTCCAACACACTGCTCCTCCTGGCTGAGGCTGGGGTTCTTTCCAAACAGTCAGTATGAAGATGAACCTGGAGGCATCTGCCTACAGCAATGATTCTTACAGCAGTTATAAGACACGTAGGGAGTCCAGCGGTTTTCTCAGTCAGGGAAAGGCACACATAGGTGGAAATATTTGCATAATTTCCAAAAGTTCTAGGATTCCCAAAACATAATTCATGGAGCTGTTGCAGAAGAAAAGCACAAGGCAGAGCATCAAAGGGAAGGATCTCAGAGCCTTCCTCCTACCTGCCGTTTCATTTCGGCTGCGTGGGAAGCAGGGCAGTGAACCACAGTGTGAGAGCAAGCTGGGTAAAACACTCCAGTGACATTTTCTCTCACGTAAACAGTTTACCAGACTTCCAAGCACTGTTAATACCGTGTTCATCTCGCGCTGCCTTGGGCTGCTGAGCCACATACAAGACTCTGTGGGCAGGTGGACTTGTGGGCTTGTCAGTAAGTTCACGTGGAGTCGTTTGTCAGATCCCCTCTGCCATCTATACCTGTCCTTTCCCCAGACTGATACCCACCTCTGCACACGCAAGTCCACCCTCCTATTTCCAAAGGACCAGATTGACGAAGGAATTTTTGTTTTTTAATGTTTTGTTTTTTTCCCAGATGGCTTGACACTGTAAATAATAGTCTAAATGTTTCATAATATTGTGAGATCCTGATATAGGAAAAAAACTATGTATTATCAACAAACTGTGAATGCTACTATCTGTGAATGCTACTGTCTCTTTTAGAATTCCAGCTTTGATTCAATCTTGACCAAAAGGTTATCAATAAACCTAATTCCCAGTGTTTTGCTTCCATCATCATCATCATCATCATCATCATGCTATTTCTTGCCCACTTGTTCACCCCTCATTCCATGCTCTGCCCTTCTCTATAGCCCAGGAGGCTGATTCCTACCCAGGCTTGTTTCCTGATTGGCTCAGTCAATGGGAGGCACAGGCTAGAAATCAGAACATGGGCTATTGCTCCCCCACTGCCTCCTGCTTTGCCTGATGTCCAGCCCTGGCTGCCTCCCTTCAACCACAGCTTCCGTCAAGGGGCCCTGCTCCAGCAAGTCAGCTCTCACTCAATCATTATACAGCTTCCTCTCCTTGCCCCTCCAGGACAGAGGGTGGCAAGTTGACCACTGTCAGCCTCTGGGTGCCTCAACGTCCATGCTTGGTTTCCTAACCCTGCCGGCTGAGTAAACCTTTCACGGTATCTCTGGTGCCGTCTGAGCGAGAGTCTGTGTGCTGCCGGGCCCTGACGACAGTCATCTCTGACATGTTCTCCCTGACAGCTGTGTACCGATTGCTCCTCATCTTTCAGGCGCCGTGTGGGTGCTTCGCCCACATTAACATCCAGCCTTCACAATCACGGCACGAGGAAAGTATTATTTTACAGATGAGAAAGTAGACTTGGCAGTTTTAAAGAACTTATCCCAGGAGACACAACTAGGAAACGGCAGAGTCCAACGGCAAACTCAGATCTTTCTATTTCCGAGCTTCTCCGTACACTGCCCACGACCCGGCTGTCCACGTCGGATCCTGGAGCGATCGCTACGAATCCAGATTCTGGGGAAGCTGCCCAGAGCTCTCTGCTCAGGAAACCACTCCATGTTTTCATTTGAGCAATGACCCAAGGGAGATTTGCACAGGCAAACTGACAACCTATGGGGTAGGCTGGCATTTAAACTCTGAGTAGTATGGGCAATAATAAATTGGTGAGGCATTTGAAACTCTCCCTCCCAGATGTAAATGAAAAATGCTAAGGAAATTGGTCAGGAGGTAGAGGAAGAAAAAAAAAACATAAAGAGAAAGTGCAATGAGACACTGGCATGGCCATATGGTGGGACAGTGACCAGTGATGCGGGAATAAGATGACATGTCCTGGAGCCAACTCGAAGCCTGAACAATGACCATGCTTAGCTTCTCTCGAGATCTGTCTCCGCTCACCCATCAGCCCACCAGTGATCTAAATAATCATTGGTCAGCCCTGGCCGGTTTGGATCAGCGGTTAGAGCGTCGGCCTGCGGTCCTGAGAGACCCGGGTTCGGTTCCCGCTAAGGGCGCGTACCTCGGTTGCAGTTTGTCCCCGGCCCTGGTCGGTTGTGCGGGTGGCAGCCACTCGATGTGTTCCTTTCACATCGATGTTTCTCTCTCTCTCTGTGTTCCTCTCTCTCCCTCCCACTCTACCTGAACAAAAAATGGAAAAATGTCCTCGGGTGAGGATTAAAATAAATAAATAAATAAATAATCATTGGTCATGTCTTCCCAGACTAATTTGACTGAGTCGACACATCCTCCGTGTTTACAGAAAGCTCTAAGCTAACAGGTGAAGCACCCTCCCTACTGGTCTTGCTGCATGAACTCTGGATGCCTCTCTAAACATTACTCATGTTGAAGCTAGAGAGACGTTCCCAAAGTGTCCATCTAACTTTATTAACCTCCTTGCTCACGACTCACAACTGACTTCCTCTTCTTTTGACTTAAAGTGAAAATCCCCTACGGTGACGACAAGTTTCTGCATTGTCCTGCCTCCATCCTCCTCATCCTCAGCCAGAGCCTCAGTCCCCTCGCCTCTCTGGTCCAGCTGCACTGCCTTTTGGTGCCCCCTGTTCCTCACCTGGGTTTAGCACAGGCTACTCCACCTGCCTCCAATGTGGGTCCCTTGCCCTTTCACCTACTTCTACACATCAGCAAACATCACTTCCCCAGGGATGCCTCCCTGACCCCCATGTCTGGCACCAATCTCATGCACCCTCCCCTGCCTGGTATTGTTCCCAGGTGTCACTGTTTGTGTGGTTACTTGATTGACATCAGTCTTTCCCACTAATTTCTCTGAGAGCAAGGTCTATGTCTGATTTTGCCTCACTGCTGTGGCCCCAGTACCTTGTAAGTTGCCTGGCCCACAGTAGACACTCAAATATTTGTTGGAGGCATGAACGGTTTAATGTCTAAAAGCAATAACAATGGGTAAATCTCTTCTAAAAGTGCCACTGCATCGTTGTTATGGAGGAAATGACAATAGTAACAGTGGACAAGTGACTGTTGCTTAGGAAGGGCCAACACACAACAGGAGCCCAGAGTATGTGCGGCTGCACGCACAGTGCCCAGGACCAAACTCTCCACGTGGAAGGGGAGCCCGATTCTTCTGCAGCCCCAACATCTACCTTAGCACCTAAGAAAATGCCCAAAAGGTCAGTGACACTTGGTTCTTCTTTACTGAGTTTCATTTAAGCTTGCAGGTCTATTTCCAAAAAGTTCATGTCAACAACTTCATAGCCAAGATATTGCAGGTTTGGTGGCTATTACCCACCCCTGTTCATTCAGCTTTAAACAAAATTGGAAAACTGAAGAGAACAAATTTGCAACTTTAATTGCAAACTGAAAGGTGGCACCATGAACTCAGTATCTTGATTGCTCTTGAGAAACATTTGAAAATCAATACTATGATATTAACTATAACATATTCTTTCATGTTATCCATGACAGAGGAAATCGTTTCATATTATTCAAACATGTACAATTATGACTAACAAATAAAAGGTATTTTTCTCATGTAAGCCCCTTTCCAGGGGCTAGTTTAATTCAAAAAGTGGTTTTGAACACTTAGCCCAGGGTGGGAGATATGGGGTAACCTGCATAGCTTTGCTTTCTAGAGCCTCGGAAACTAACAGAGGAGGCCATGGGGGCAATAGAAAGAATTCAAGGTCCAGCATATCAAGAGTCCAGCTTTGTAATTTTGCAAGTAAGAAAAATGAGGCTCCCAAGGGTGATTATCTGTTGATAGATTAATGCCAAAACCAGATCTTGAACTTAAACATTCCCTTTAAGGACAGGATACGATCAAGGATATGTGTAAAGACATGACCTAATTCTGTTGTTCTCCTTGGCTTTCTCAAAGCCACTGCATCCACTTGGGGCTGAAATAGTAAGCAAACATCAGTATGGTCTTCTTTTTTTATTTTTTTATCCTCACCCGAGGACATTTTTCCATTTTTTATACAGATAGAGTGGGAGGGAGAGAGAGGAAGAGATAGAGAGAGAGAAACATTGATGTGAAAGGGACACATCGAGTGGCTGCCACCGCACGACCAACCAGGGCCGGGGACAAACTGCAACCGAGGTACGTGCCCTTAGCGGGAACCGAACCCGGGTCTCTCAGGACCGCAGGCCGACGCTCTAACCGCTGAGCCAAACCGGCCAGGGCAGTATGGCCTTTTTAAGGGAGCAAGATCCCACTTCCTACCTCTCCTTTCTAATCTCCTTCTCATATATCAGGTAAAATAATTTCCCCAAATGGGATACCAACCTGAGTCCTTCATGAGGCTCGGCATGCTCTGGCCCCGGCTCCGGCTCTGGCCTTGGCTGTAGCCTCACCTTCCACTGTTTCTTCCCTTTCCCAGGTCCAGACCCTGCTTTCTTTGGCCCTCCAATCATGCCGTGCTTTCTCCACACCAGGGTCTCAGCACACACTGTTTCCCCAGCTTGGGACACTCTCCTTCCTTCTTCCCTTCCTGATCATGCTCAGAGAAAATGCCATTGCTCTGACCTGTACACTGGTCCCTCCCTGCCCTCCGTAGATGCTGCCGTTACTCTTGATTGAGCTCTCTGCTTGATATCTACTTTGTGCAGTAGACTCTAAGCTTCCAAGATGCGGGAACCCATTTCTGCCACTCACTGGAGCATCTCCACTCCCCAGCACAATACCTAGAGCCTTAGTTAAGGAGGCTAAGCTGCCAGAACAAATAAACTTCACATCCTCAGCATTTTACAGAAGGAGACGTTATTTTTCCTTTTTTATGTGGCAGTTTTACTCCATACAACCGTATAGGGACACAGGCAGATGTGGCTGGTGGCTTCAGCATGTGGATTTCAAAATATCCCTGAAGATGTCTCTGTTAATCTGCTGGAAATGGGAAAGAGCGTGGAAGAGCTTACGTGGAAAGGGATCACGTCTCTTCTACTCCTTTCCCATTGGGGGAACTTAGTCACATGGTCACAGGAAAACATCAAAGACTAGGCTGTGTGGGCAGCCATTGTCAAGCACTTCTTCACCTAAATGTGTCAAGGGAAGAAAGAATTTTAAAGACAGATGGTTACTCCACCAGAATGCTCAGTGAATATTTATCGAACATTACGAATCTTGAAGCCATTGTATTGCTCTGCTTTAGACACTTTTATCAATACTCAAACTCCCGGAATCATTATGTTTTTTTGTTGTTTTTTTTTCATTTTGTTGGCAGCATTTCAATATCCAAACAACTGGCTTCAATCAAAGGTAAGGCATGGGGCACCGAGATGCACGGGTTTCTTCTCTGGTGTGACAGTGTGCCAAGAGTTAAAACAACAGGACATGGAGAATGCAACGGTGGCAGGGAACTTGTGGACAAGTCATCATTCATGATGTTCTTTTCAAAGATTTGGAAACTGAGATCCAGGGATAGAAATTAGCGTACCCAAACTTAGCCCAGTAAACCAAGTCACGAGGGGTCCCGACTCCTAAGTCAGAGAGACTCACACCGGGGTCCCGTTGTCTCTCCATTGCTGTGTCCTCAGTAAGTCCACCGCAGGACGTCAACATCTAATTCATGAATGTTCAGTGGAACTTAGGACGCTGTCTACCCCCAGCTGCCTCTGGTGATTGAGTGAAAACAGTGTGGCCAACCCCTGAAACATAAGTATTTTCCCTCAGAATTCCATTTTTATAGGTAAAATATCTTTAGACCTAGCATTACTGGCATGAAAAAAACCACTCATATACTTGGATCATTATCAAATGATCATTAACAAATATTAGGGAAAGTTTTAAAACGAGGTGATTCTGACAGCTTGCTGTACTGAGAGCTGTATTCTAGTACACAGAGTGTCGTGAACATACTAGATCAAATGGCACCAGGCAGGTGAGGAGAAGGAGGCAGAAAGTTGTTCTGAAGTTCAAGTCAGCTCCGTCCAGCACACGCACCGAGCCAAGGACACACCGGGCCTGGGAGTGAGTGCCAGATAAACAGGTGCAGGGACTGTCCTCGGGGAGCAGAGTCCAGACCTGCACTGTCCCGTACGGTAGCCACTGGCCACGTGTCGGAACTGAACATGTAACCTGTGCTTAGTTTGAATTGAAATGTGCTGTAAGTATAAAGTATATGTCAAATCTAGAAGACAGTAAAAAAGTGTAAAGTATTTCAATCATTTTATCTGTGTCTTTTTACTTTTTTGATGTGGCCATTAGAAATTTTTAAATTATTATTATTGCTCACATTACATTTCTTTTGGACAGTACTGTTCCCGAAGGTGATTTAGACGACGAAACAGAGTGTTTTAGTGGAGGTGTGATATGTCTCTGTTTAGGGAAGTAAGAAGCATAAAGGAGGGACACGCAGCCCAATGTCAGGGGTGGGGAAAGTGTCCTACAGGATACACTGCCTGAAAAACAACATCTGGAAGCAATATGAGTCGTGGTGAGGGACCAGACTGGCTGTGTGACCTTGAGCAAGCTACTCAACCTCTCGGTGCCTCAGTGTTCTCCTCTGTAATGTGGGGGTGATACTGAAACCGGCCTCAGAGGGCTGATGTAAGATCTGAATGCACTGCCGCATGCACATCTGCTGGAGGGGTGGCTGGCCGAGAGGGGGCGTCACAGAATCCATGCCCGCGGCACCCCCCCCGGGGTGCGCTCCAGGAAACAAGACTATTCCCTTGCTCCTGCTCGCTGCTCTATCTCCACAGCCAGGATGGGCCTGGCAGTAAATACTTGCCAACAAATTCTCCTTGGGAGAAGAGAGTGTTTAAGGAACTGCACACAGTCGGGATTATTAAAGGGCAAACAGAGAGGAGGAAGTGGCAGGAGAGGTGCACACCAAGCGGCCTGTTCTAAGGCCCCCTCCACGCTCCAGGCGAGAGCGCCAGCGACGCGGCCAGAGAACCATCAACCCTCTGCCCGTTGCCAGCGGAGCCCTGACAATGTGCTTCCACGTGTCTGCTCCCGACTCCGCGCAGGCAGGCCGATCGGGAGGCAGCTGCTGCCTCAAGCGAGGAACCCACCCGTAAAGGCAGGAAACCAAGCGCCCCCCCCCCCCCCCCGAGTTCTCCAGTGTTGGTAGCACAACTAGAACTCCTGGCTAACTTGTATTCTTAGTATTTTCCCACTCGGTTTTTACCGTGAGCATATGCTACCGTACAGTCCGGGGCTGTTCTGACGGAGCCCCGTCTAGAGGGCAGTCAGGCCTGACTGCAACAGAGGCTGGAATGTCTGGACTCCACAGCTCCTGGGGTGCCCTTGCAGGGGACAGTCCAAAGTGGCAGATCTCTCTGTGGGCTTTGAAGCAGACAGACTTTCAAATCGTTTCTCTGTCACTTCTGAGCACTGTGGTCTTAACCTTCTTAATCTCTGCACGAGTCTGTTTCCAGTGTGTAACACTGAGACACAAATAGTGCCTGCCTCTCCGGGCTTACTGAGCATTAAATAAGATTATGTTTGAAAGGCACCTGGCACATAGAAGCAAGGAAGGTATCTATCATTATTTGCAAGCTCACTCAAGCTTGGAAATTCACCCCTTCCTCGCCAGAAGGACACAAGCAGCAGGACAAGAGACTGCTGTCCCCCATGAGAAGTCTCGGACCCAGGAAAGCAGCATATACTAATTATTCCTGGTCATTTATTAAGAAATCAACTGATCAAGATTACAGGTGTTCCCTGTAAGCAATTTGCTTCTTAAATACAGTACTATTTAGAAACAATTTAACTTAGCCACTTAATTTCAAAGTTATCACCATCCAGCCCCCCACCAACTCAAATACACACACCTCAGGAAAGACGGACACGAGCTAAAAGAAATATGCCCATCTGCCTGTATTTTGATGGACAGGAAAATCTCGGTAATCGAGGAGAATCCCAATTTTAAATGCAGGTTTCCAGATGCGGCAGAGGCGAAAGGATAGGGGAGAAAGAGTAAAAACAGAACTAAGCAGGGGATGTTCTGCAGCTGGGTTCTAGGCTAGCCGGAAGGACAGCCACGGGACAAGCAGGGAGACAGGATCAGAAAGCAGGAAGGAAATCAAGGAGTAAGAAGTTGAGGACATTGTTGAGGACAGCGTTTGCAGTCATTCATTTGTGAAGCACCTACTATGTGTGAGCCATTGTTGTAAATGCTGATGATTCCACAGAACACGACACAGGCAAAAACATCCTTTTCTTCATGAGTCTTGTGTTTTCAATACGGATCCAGATTCAAGCTCTGCCACTTCCAGCAGCGTGTCCTCGAAAGAATCACCTCCTTTCTTCACTGAGTAAATGGTATAATGCTGGAAAGAACAGTGTTCGTGGACTGGAAGAGTCAGTGTAGCAAAGACATCAGTTCTCCCCAAATTGCTTCCTAGGCTTAATGCAATTATTACCCAAATTTAAGGTTTTTCAAAAACAGCCAAGCTTATCCTCAATTTTAAATGGAAAGAGAAAGGCCCTAGAATAGCCTACATAATTTTGAAAAAGAATAGTGTCAGGAATCACTCTTTCCAATATTAAGACTTACTATAAAAATCAGGCCCTGGCTAGTTGGAGCGTCGGCCTGCGGACCAGAGAGTCCCGGGTTTGGTTCCCGCTAGGGGCACGTACAAAGAAAAGAAGAAAGAAAGAGAGAAATCAGAAGCGTAACAAAGGGTTAGTGGTCAGTGGAACAGAAAAAGGGACCCAGAAATTGACCAACACAAATATGCTCAGCTGCTTTTGGACAGAGAGGTGAAAGCAGTTCGATGAAGGAAGGACAGAGTTTTCAACAGCTGGTCATCCACAGGTTAAAAAAAACCTCAACCTAGTTTTCACACCTTATACAGAAATGAACTCAAATGGATCACAGATTAAAATGTAGAACACGAAGTTATAAAACTTTTAATTACACACAGGACAAATCTTTCCTAAAAGGATAAACTGGTAAGTTAGACTTTATAAAACTAAAATGATTTCCTCTACAGAGGACCCCCTTGGGAAGATAAAAAGGCAATTTACAGACAGAGAGACAATACTGGCAAATCGCACGTCCCATCGAGGACTTGAATCTTTAATAGATGCGGAACTCTCAAACCTCAACAACTATTTTTAAATTCAGTTATAAAATGGGTAAAATCCATGAACAGATCTGAACAGACATTTGCCAAGGAAGATACACAGATGGTAAATAAGCCCATGAAAAGCTGTTCAGAGTCATTAGCCACTAGGAAATACAAATTGAAACTGCAGTCAGCACACACCTATCAGAATGACTAAAATAGATGGAGACGATACAAAGGCTGGTAAGGGTGCAGAAAACCTGGATCCCTTACATATTGCTGATGGGCTGTAAAATGGTACATCCACTGTGGAAAAACAGCTTGTAGTTTCTTTAAGTGGGTGGGGAGGATCGCCCTGGCTGGTTTGGCTTAGTGGTAGAGCGTCGGCCTGTGGACCAATGAGTCGTGGGTTCAATTCTGACCAAGGGCACGAATGGGTCATGTGGGAGGCAACCAGTCCATGTGTCCCTCTCACATTGATGTTTCTCTCTCCCTTTCTCCCTCTCTCTCCCTTCCACTCTATCTGCATATAAATAGAAAAGTATCCTCAGGCGAGGATTTAAACAAAGGAGGGGGAGATCATATGATCCAGCATTATACTCTTGGGCATTTATTCCCAAGAAAAGAAAAATCATGTTTCGTACAGTAACTTGTACACAAATGTTCAGACAAGCTTTATTTGTAATAGCCAAAACTATAAATCACCCAAATGTCCCTCAAAGGTGAATGGCCACATTTCTAGGTAGCTTTCCTCCCAGACCCACTCTGTAATTTTTTATTTTTTCTATCTCTGTACCTTCTTTGTCTCATACATCACAAGTTGCAAATATGCATATTGTATATGTATATGGAGAAGTAAATAATTATCAAATCCATATAAAACAAATATGTGTGCATGCACCTGCATCCTCTTGATTATGTTTAGTGTCCCCACTGGGCTGTAAGATACAGGGCAGAGGCCACAGCTGGCTGTGTCCCCTCTGTGGACGCCCTGGGAGGGGACCAGGAGCACCGTGACTGCTCCGTACGAAAGTCACATTATTCTGACTGATCAGCCTTCTCTGAATTGACAGTTATGGAGCATAACATGGGCTGACAGCCGCGGGATTCTGTTTTTCTTTGTTTTATTCTTATTTATTTATTCAACAGCCAGTATTAACACCTACTACGTTGTTGGCATCTGTGCTGAATCTGGGGATAAAATGAGAAGGAAATGTAGGATCCCTGGCCTCGGAGAGCCTGCATTCTAGTTGGGGAGGGAGCCGATTAAACATGCAGTAGCTACAATGTAAGTTTCGTAGTTGAGGGCTGTGTTAGGGACTAAGAACAGAGCTTAAGAATGTTCTTCACCGTACCTTGTGCAGTGCCCAGTGCTCACTGCGTGCTACCCGCCGGAAAGAAATGAGTTAGCACTGACCCTCCAAGGAATTTAAACCAGAGAAACCAGCTGGGACGTCACCGTGCTTGAGGCAGTGTGAGTCAACGAGTTCACTCATCGATCATGACATCCAAGAGCTGGTTCTGGAAGTAATTCTCCTTCATCACACTGGCAGGAGGTGACACTCCGTCTGACACATAATATTAACTCCACAGGAGCAGGACTCTGTCTCATTCACTGAGGTAGCTTCAGTGCCAGGCACTGAGCCTAGTATATAGTACTGGGTGCTCCATAAATATTTTACAGATCAGAAATCCCAAGCTTAGAGAGGTGAGGTTTTTTCCAAGATCACATGCAAGAAAGTGGTAAATCTCATCCTAATTCTACCAATTCTATTGCTCCTGAAAGAATTTGTTTAAAGGTCCAGGATCCAATACCCCCTCGTCCCATTCCCAGTAGGAGACAAATGGCCCAAGAACAGGGCCAGGTTGGCGTCCACTTTCTAACCCCATTCCCCACATCCCATAGAGGATAGACTCCCGCGTCTGGGGAAAGGTCATCTCTCACCTGGGCTGTGCACTGTGATTCCTTCTCCCGCAGCTCTGGGGAAGGGCTCAGATCTGGAGAGAGCCATCGCCACTGCTGCTCTGATCTTCAGAAATTCTTCTGACGCTGAGGGTAAACTTGAAAAAGCTACTGCCAAAAATCTGCTACAAACCCAATTTAGGAATTTCACAGAGGTAAGAGAATTAACAGGCCTGAAGAAACAAGAGCAACACCATAATGGCTGGTCCAACGAGCCTCCAGCTCCAGCTCATTCACTAAATAGTTTTCGAACTCCTACTGTAATGTCAGGAGGTGAACTGAGCACTGGGGTTCCTGCGGTGGAAACCTAACAGTCCAGCGGAGTAGAGAGATGTGCTGAAGAGTAATTAGAAATATCCAAAGGATGGCAAAAGAGTAGAGCATGCACAGAAAGAAAAAGCAGAGGGACCGTCTTGGGGCCGGTGGTCAAGAAGGGCTCCTGGAAAATGAGGGTATCGCTGAGAGCTGAAGAATGAGCAAGAGTTAGTAAGTCAAGGGGGTGGGTGAGGATGGTAGCATTCCAGGCAGAGGGAATGGCAGATGCAATGCTGTGAAGCATGTCCAAGACCTAAGAGGGCCAGTAAGCAGTTGCTGAGAAAGGGGAAGGAAGTAGGACGCAGTGTGGGATGAGGTTGGGAAGGTGGAAATAAGCCAAATCTCACAGAGGCATAGCCTGAGGGCAGAAGGAAGCTAGGAATGGTTTCTAAATCCAGGAAGAAGAAATTACACCAGCTTCAGATCAGAGTAGGGTAGGGGTGGGGGTGGAACAAAAAAGAATGGATTGACTGTAGAAGTAGCCAAAGGGACGACGATTGGATAGTTTGGACCAGGGTGGTAAATACATCGGCTGTTTGGAAGGTGGAATGAATAGGATTTGATCACTGATTGGCTGTGAAGTTTGAAGGACAGGAGGAGCAAATTATGATACCCCAGTTCTAACTTTGGGAAAAAGCAGGTGGTGGCCCTGTTCCAGAGAAGAGAAAGACTGAAGAATCAGCAGATACGAAGTGAGTGGGGTTGGGAAGGAGGTGATGAATTCCATTAGAATGTGTCACTTTTAAGATGCTCATGAAACAGAGGCCAAACTCAGCAACAAGATACATGAGTTGGGAGGTCAGAATAGAATCTGTGTTCAAAACATAGAAGTGAGAATGAGCAGTGTCTAAAGGGTCACTGACCTGAAGGGGAGTGACCTGAGTCACCTAGAGGGATATATCTCAAGTTCAGCCAATTGAATAGCATTTTCAATATTTTTCCCACAATTGCCTATAGCCTGTATTATCATTTACTTAGAACTTTTTTCTTGCATCACCTAAAATTGCATTACATTCTACCAGCAGTGTGCATTCATACTTTGAGAAATATTGGCCCAGGGAAAATGAGCAAGAGTTATAAGTGGTGGGAAAGATAAGTATTGTAAGTCCCTTAAAATATAAATATATATGGTGTTAGCACACGAGAGTTATATAACATATCATTCACTGGGAGCTGGGTCAGTCATCGATTCATACAGCTTTCTATGAATCTATGATTATTTCAAAAGAGCATTGTGAAATTAGCTTTTTAAAAAATAGATTCCACACATAAGTGATTGTTTTTAAAAGGCTAATTTGATAGAAACAGAATGGAATAGTAGTTGCCAGGGTTTGGGAGAAGAAGTAGTGGGGTGATAAAGTCAAAGGGTATACAGGTTCAGTTCTAAGAAGTTCGGGGATGGACAGCCTGGTCGCTATAGTTACTGATGCAGCACTGGGCACTGAAAAGTTGCTGAGAGTAGACCTCAGCGTTCTCACCACACAAACATGATTTAACTATGGAGCTGACGGACATGCTCACATCTTGACTTTGGTCATCATGCTCATGAGGTACACATATGTTAAATCATCACATTGTACACGTCAAATGTATAAAATTATATCTGTCAATTATTCTTCAATGAAGTTAAAAAAAAAAGAGTGTGGAGTGTGTATGTGCCTGTGTGAGACACGGAAGCAGAGAGACCTCAGTGTGATGCAGGAAATGATGGGAAAGAGGTGTTAACCATATCTAGCTATTTTGGAGTAATGGAATAAAGATTAATTTTACATTCTCCTTTGGAAAAATATTTTTCCAAATGTCCAGGATTAAACATGTACTATTTTTTTTAAAAAATTTTTTTTTAAGGAAAGCTATTTTTTTCAGCTAGAAATATCGGGCAGAATTTGGCAAATTTTTGGAGTCTTCAAAGAGAGGGTGAGTGAAAAAATCCTATACCATTTGCCTGCCTCACAGGCCAAAAGAAATGGCCAATCCCGGAGAGAAAGGGGGCCCTGCACCCGGCTCCCAGGCGTATCCTCAGGGAGCTTCTAACAAGGATAACAATGAGGACCCAGTGGATGGATCATCCTCTGAGAACACCAGAGGAAAAAACACAAAAACCGACACCATCGGGAAGGTCGCCTTGGCCTCCTGGCCCTCAGTGGGCTGACCCTGAGGAAGGCCGCCAGTGGCTGAGTCTCCAGCAGCAAATACTCCCAGGCCTCCTGCAGTCCTGCCCCCTGCTGGAGATGACAGGCACCGGCGAGCAGAGCCACATTTCAGGGGATTCAGGGGGCCAGCTCACCCCCAGGCAGGCCCAGTATCCATGGTGCCTGCCCCTGAGTAATGTTAGAATGCTGCCTCGGGCGAGCCACCCTCCGTGAAGTCCCCGCACAGGGACCAGCACACGAGTCCAGACAAAGACCAAGGCCCCTCCATTGCCGATGGCTTTCTCCCAAACCCCCAGGCAGAGTTCTCCAGTACACTGGACTGGACCCTGTGGCCACGCCTGGGTTCTGAGGGGAACACTTCTTTCCCACATGCCTAAGCAGAATTGGGGGGATCTTATTCCATAGCCAGTCAGGAAACTGAACACACAAAAGGCACAGCGAAGAACGTGTTTGCCCTCACAAAGCTAACACAGCCGGTCAGGCCCAAGGGCGCTGGACCTTGGTCCACTCACGTCCCAACAGTGCTGTGCAGACAAAGACCCGCTGCCGCCCCTGACCTTGAAGCAGGTGTGCTTTGCGCTAGTGAAGGGCTCCCGTCTCTGTCTCGGAGTCTGAGCCTCTCCGCACAGCATTCGGCTCTCCTGGCGGGGCTGGGAGAGCTCCTCTGGCCCTCACGGCGGGTGTGCCCTCGTGAGAAGGAGCTAGAGAAACAGCAATGGTCTAAGCCCAGGCAGAGGACCATACCGCCTTCCTAACAGCCCTCGTCCTTGCTGTGATGGTTTCTTCCAGCTAGCACGTGGGTGAGCATTTGGGATTGAGCTAAATGCAAACACAGCTCTTTATAACAGCGAATCCAATGACCTTAACATTTTTAATGCCACTTGGAAGTGATTTCACAAGCTGTGCTTGGAAACTGAAAAGCCTCTCCACGTATGTACTATTCACATTTCCTTGCAGCCGTTTATGAGGACCATGAACTTGGATTCGTTTTGTGATCAAACTAAATGCTGAACAGTGTTCCAAAGCACATCTTTTCTTTCAGCATATTTTAGTCCATATTTCTGGATAATCTACTTGTTCGGTGGAACACATGCTGTGTAACTCTCATAACAAAGATCATGTTTTGAAAATCTGAAAACATAACACTGGGTGTTTGCAGAGGCAGGATGGCTTCGCAGTAAGAGAGGGCTGGGTAGCCGAGGCTGTGAGCCCGGCTCCGGACCAGCGGCCGCCTGGCTTCGGGCTGGTTACGCAAATCTTGCTGAGTCTCTCCTGCTGCAGCTGCAGAGTGGACCTAGCGATGGTACATACTCAACAAGGTCACTGTGAGGCTGCAAAGGTCTAACACAGCGCTTGACTGGCAGCACTGGTGGCGACTTGACATGTTGTTACAGTGAATTGCAAGTTTATTACTGCTTATATCTGTAACACCCAGGTGCACAATAGGTTAGGTTTATACTTTTTCTTTATTCTTACAGGGACAAGAAACCAAACCAAAGTTCAGAGACCTCCTTTCTGAACTTGATGAGCATACAGAAAATAAGCTCGACTTTGAGGATTTCATGATCTTACTGTTAAGCATCACTGTCATGTCAGACTTGCTACAAACTATATGGAATGTAAAAATGACGAAATAAACAGCTTTCACTGTGCGGCGAGACAAAATAATGATGAAAGATAGTGTTAAATGATTAAAGCATGTTTCCATTTATTTTCAATGAATTGATATCTTGGCTTGCATATGGGGATAGCCTGGACGGTTCTGCTTGCTAATGTTCAGACCCAGTACAACTCCAGACTCCACATATTCTCTCAGGAACACCTGAATGATATGCTCTCTGGGTGCGTCACAACCTGGTAGATTTCTACCTCTGCCCATCATGTTGCTTTTGCTGAGTCAGTGGTGACAGAGCGCTTTCCTCAGAGTCAGAAGTCATCATTACTCATTCATTCAGCAGCATTCACTGAGCAGCTGCTCCATGGTAGTGCTGGGGGTGCATGAAGAACCAGCCAGACCATCTCTGCCCTCACATGTGCCTGGAGAAGACCAGCAGAGGAGAGGACACTGACCGTGTGTTCATCAGTAGCATATGCAGCATCGTTACCAATGTGATAGGGGTGACAGGTGCTGTTACCACCTGACCTGGGATAAAGGTCAAAGCTTTACTGATACTTTGCAAAAGACAAAGTTATAGAGAAAAAAAACAAATCAGTGGTTGCCATGGCTGTGGGTGGCAAGCAGAGTTGTCCACACATCGGCATGAGAGAACTCTGAGGGGGATGGGAACGCTCTGTAGCTTGATCATGGTGCGGTTTCATGACTGCATGCGTTTGCCAAACTCTTAGAACTGTACTCTAAAGATGGTGCACTTCATTGTACGTGAATTATTCTTAATTAAACATGACTTAAAAATAAAAACAAAAAATATTCTTGTACACCCTGGCCGGTTTGGCTCAGGGGTTAGTGTGTTGGCCCGTGGACTAAAGAGCCACAGGTTCGTTTCTGGTCAAGGGCACATACCTCGGTTGTAATTTGGTCCCCGGCCCTGGTCAGGGTCGTGCAGGAGGCAACCAACCAATGTGTCTCTCTCACGTTGATGTTTCTCTCTCTCTCTCTCTCTCTCTCTCTCTCTCTCTCTCTCTCTCTCCCACTCTATCTGGAGATAAATGGAAATATATCCTTAGGTGAGGATTTAAAAAAAAAAATTCTCTGTGACCACGGTTTAACCAACAACTCCTTAAGATTATGATCTTATGTCCAAAGATTATGTGGTAATGTCCTAAGGAGCCATATCCCCCATGGTCACACATGCATTCCTGAGTTTAAACTATATCTAGATATAAATTACATACACACACAGCTCAATGCCTGAACCTTTGAGACTGACCTTAACAAAGACTTTTATTTGTTGTAAAACCAAGTCTCCTCTCTCATCTCCCCTTTTCCTCCCAGCCCAACATGGTAAGGTTCACATACATATGTTAAGAAAACTCCATCAGGAGGGAGACCTTTACCCTTGGTCTGGAAGTGCCCCAAACCCACCAAGACCCGACTCCTTGGTCCTCCCCATGTTCCAAACCTCAGACTTCCTAAGTCCAAGCATTTGCACACATTTGCACAAACCAGGCTTTGCCCGCTCTCGCCATTTCTCCAGGAGGGCTCATACTACAAGCCGGACACTATCTTAGGGGCTCTGCAGATATTAACTCACCGAACCCCTAATAGCCCCTGGTGGTATTATTATCATTTTGAGGAAACTGAAGCACCAGTCATACAGCTGTCAAGCTTGGGAGTCCTCTGCCCTCTCTGTAGTCTAATTTTGTTAATAGTAGACTTTGTTGTGAGCAACAATGTTATAACTCAACAGAAATGGCTGCCCACATCTGAGGCTTTGTGCAGAGAGGGGTAGCAGCTGGTCCTGGAGAACCATTTGGCGTTCCTCAAATAGAACTCTGTGGGCTGGTCTCCGTCACATCACAAGTAGCTGAATGCGGCAACCTCGGTGACCACTGAAAAGGTCAAATTCACACCTTTCGGAGGAGGGAAAAAAGAGACCTTGGCCAATGGTGTGATGGGAAATCTTGGAGCTATTCCAACCCTCTAGGGTCCCAGTAGGAAATTTTTGAAATTTCTTCCCAGATGGAAAGTCACACTCCTCTGAGGAAAATATCAATTATAGAATCTATTTTTACCTCGTGCAAAGAATGAAAACAGAGCAACTACATGTGTACATGTTAGAGCATCCGTGACAGATAAACCAATTAGCATGATGCTAAGACCCTAGATCGCAGCAGCCTCACGCCATGGTTCTTGTCCCAGGACCATAAGCTGTACTCTTAAAACAAAGGTGCCGTCTTGAAAATGTTACTGGTCATCATGGGTGAGATTATGGAGGCAAATCTGTCTTAGGATTCCTTGTTTGTAAGGAATAACAGCAACTCAAATAGCAATCATGCACACATACACATACAAAGGAAAAAAAGGAACAGTGTATTTATCAGCAATGTACAGGGACATATTATGAAATGAAAGGGCAAAAAATGCAATTAACACCCACAAAGTACTGCAAACAGTAAAAGAAAACAAAACCAAGGTTTTTCTCTTAGTCTCTCTTATATTGGTTTCCTGTCTCTACTTCTGTCTCCTCGTGGTTGTTAGTCTCTCTCTCTCTCTCTCTCTCTCATTTCTTTTTTTTCTAATAGATTTTATTTGTTTTCTCTGGTTAACTTAAAATTTTTCTTATCTTGCTTGATTTTTTCCTGCAGCTAAACTAGAAAAAAAGTGGTTTTTTTTCTCTTCTAAAAATTGCAATGACATTCTTTTTTATAAATTGCCCTCAGATTTTCTTGTCAGCCTGCTTCAAGGAAATCCATGTGTTCAATATACTTACTTGCACTTTGGTCCCTACCAAATGGTTGTTTGATCCAAACATCTGAGCAGCACACAGAGCTTCTCCTCCTGGAGAAAGCACAGTTGAATAGCCCAGACCGTTGGACAGTCGAAGGGAAAACCGCACCCGCTGAGCTCCTCGGTCTGGAGTGAGTGGAGGAAAGCTGATAAGTGGATATGTGGTGTTAGCAGTCCTAAACCACGCTTCTGCCTGCCACGGCCACATACCGTGGGAATGCATCCCCTTCATACTCAGCTTTAAGCCTCAGAGTTTCAGCCGGTCCTTTATGGTCAGAAGTTACCCATAGTTCACACGGAATGCCAAAATTTCCACAAGCCTTCTTGAACTTTTTACAGTGACCGAGATCAGAAGTTGAGCCCATCAATACTGCACTTTCTGGCTTCAGAAGCAACTCTACTCTTCCTGAAGCCCACTCAAAACTTTTCTTTACCATCCGGGGCCCTTCAGGAGTCACTTTCTTGAGGTCACGATATGACTTCTGTTGGCTTTGATCTCCTGATAACCAAAGTCTTCAGGCATCATTAGCAATAATATCAACAGGAACCATTTTTTGTTGGTAACATCAACACCGAAGTCAATCGTCAGTTCCACCAGTGTACAGTCTGGGGACAACCAGGACTTCTCCAGTATTTCAAAAAATAGCTTCCGTAGCATGACTCACGATACCCACTTCAGCTTGTCCTACAAGTCCAGAAAATTTTGCAGCTCCTCAGACCACTCTGGATCATTATTGGTATCATCCTTGAAAATGTCTCCACTTCAGGTGGGTAAAACTTGATCCTTCTTTGACACTAGGAAAGAACCGGTTGCTATTCTTCCTCGGACCCGTTCTTGGAATCATTTCACACGTGGGTGCAATGGAAGCGGACTCCCCACCTTCACTGGTGAAAGCAGTTTTGATATCTGCTTCCTGTAGCAACTGAAAAATACAACTGGTAATTTCATTGGAGATTGCAGCTTCTCCTGCCAGGTGAGTCTTCCTGGCTGTATTTCCTGCTTTAATCTGGTCTGTGGACTACAGGAGAACTCATCCTGGACTGTCTAACAATTCATAGACTTCTTTTGTTTTACCCTCATAGAGTTTACAAAGATTCAGTACCTCTGCTGCCACCATTGTCCTGGGTAGACTAGGAGCCTCCCTCTGCCATTTCTGTCTCTGTCTCTTTCTCTCTCTTAGTCAGTCCTTTTTCTGTTTCTTGGCACAAGAGCAAACATGATGTCTCCATTGCTGACTTTGCTTCTCTCTTTAAATGCTCAACAGATACCATGCAGACTCTCAGAAGCTCAGATTTAATCCCCAGGACAGAGAATCTGATTGGCTGCAGCTGAGTGGGGATTACACCCAATCTAGTCCTTTGTGGTCAGGGCGGCAAGTCAATGCCCAATCGGCAGGGACTCTGGGAACTAACTCTCTGCAAAGTATATGCACAGGTTCTCAAAGAAAGAAGGGAGGAGCTGGGAAAGAAATGATTGCCACAGGAAATGATAGAAATGTGTGATAAAAATACACAATTTACACTTAAAGGGTAGTTATTTGCTTCTCGGGTATGGGCTGAGCAAACTCTGCAAACAATCTCATTTGTTATTCCAAATGAAATCTTTCTTGCACTGTCACTAGATAAAGGGAGCTGGCCTGAGCCCCCCTGTGAATTTCCCAGTGATAAATATAGTGAAGGTACTCCTATACCAGAGCTGTGAGCTCTCTTGCAATTTGGTGCACATGACAGAAACATACCCAGGCCTAGAACCTCTAATTTTCTTTATTTTAGCATCTAAAATTGGGTCCAAGTAAGAGATTGGGGCTTGTGCTTTAAACAGTCCTTTGCAAGAAAGGGGAAGGGCTGGGAGGAAACCAGCAGGACCCTTGCGCGTCAGCTGACCTTGGCACCGGCAGAGCGAGAGCTTGTGGCGGACCAGCCCAGGGTTGAGGGCAGACAGTGGCCCAGGGACGCAGGCCTGACAGAGGTGCTGTGCCAGCCCCTGGCTTCTCATTTCAATCTGGGACACGCAGTGTCAGCTCTCTCTTCGATCCTGTGCGGGGCCTGGTTTTACAAGCATCTGAGTCTGGAGGGGGGTGCAAAGCAGGGACCGGGCACGCTCACTTCAGCGCACGGAGGGAGCCGGTGTGCTGTTGCAGGCTCTCACCACGTCATCCACATTCTGCACCGAGAACAACAAACACAGCATTTTCATACACAGTTGGAGACAAAACATGAAAATACTAG